CGCACACCTGACTCTTTAAAATGTACTAGAGCCCCAGGTGAGCGCTTTAAGGGCATCCGGAGGCTCACTTGTAGTTGTTTAAAGCCACGTACGTGACCAGGGATACTCCTTTCTAAAAATAGAATAGGCAGAAGCTTTGCCCATGCATATGCCTGTGGTCACGTTCAGTATAGTCGATGACGCGTCCTGGGAGTATTGCGTCTGACTCACATCATGCGCATAGTCCACTCCGTTTCGTATCTGTTGCAACAGTGTACTTGCTGGCCCATACAAATCCATCCACTCATGACTGATGACACCATCCGAGTGTTAATCATGTCCCCGCACATACATATCTCGTATGATATGCACACACCTAAATGTATACTGTAGTGAACTCTTGTGCACTTGTTGCACCTTTCGAATCGCTAGTTGTTGTTCTCATATCCTTCCTTCACTAGAAGGTGGTGTACTTCTAATAAAGTATATGCCGCGATAGCAGGTCCATCCCTTCTTGCTCATACTCAAAACCGTTCCCCTGTTTGTTCAGAGTCATGAGCCTGGACTTGTTCTCAACCCGTTGCGCGAGTCGGAAAATTCTCTCCGGAACTATTGCTTTGGAAGCGCTTCAGTAGAAGGTAAGCCTAGGCGTGACTACCAAGGTAAGCCTAGGCGTGACTACCACTCAACAGTGTCCGTAGTTTAGTTGTATACTGAGATAACCAGCATTCTATTATATAGTATTAACATGGCCATGTGACAACGCTCTAGCCACATGTAACTGTTGTGGCATTCGTCTGTCTGACTCTATTGACCTACGTTGTTTCCGCATATAGACAACATGTAAGTCACGTGATGTGTATGCGTACAGGTTCTGTATGGTCGTCTTTTCTCATCTGTCGCTTCTCCCACGTTGTTTGGCCCGTAGCCTCACTATACCAAAACAAATCACCGAAGACCAAATAATGGACCACGCATATCGCTAATCATAACCCATCTACTCGCTCAAGTTCACATGTGATTAAGGGAGATCTAAAACATGTCAAGGGGATAGCAGTAATTCTATGTACGCCTCATAGGCCTGAATATGCAATGTGGGCGTTGCTGAGATGTGCTCATTCATTTATAGCTGCACTATGCAAGGGTTTTTTTGCCGTATACCACATGATGGACCAGGCGTATCGTCTATCAATCACGACCCATCCATTTGCTCAAGCAGACATGTGATGATGTGAGCTGTGAATCGTGATATGGGGTTAGCAGTAGGTCTATATATGTATTGTTGGAGTTGTTAAGGCGTGTTTATTCCTTCGTATATGCAGCTGAAACAAGATTTCCGCATCGGATAAAGGACCTGTTATGTACTTACACTGCGTAGGGTCGTGTTCACGTGAACAAGTGAGCTGAACTCGACTCTACTGTCATTCTCAGCCAACACTTGACTTCCATATTCATACACATTTGAATAATATCCGTATGTATTGGAAAATTATCCATATGCAGTTGAATGATATATATATATGTAGTTGAATAAACTTCATATGTAGTTGAATAGTATTCATATGTATTCAATGAATATTCGTACGTGTTTGAAAAATATTCGAATGTAATTGAATAATATTCTTATCTATTTGGATGATATTGATCTGTATCCTCATACAGGCGAGCGTAGCTGCAAAGGCTACGCCTACCAAGTCAAGAACTACATGAACGTTCAGGCCCGCCTGAACACAGACATCCGCAAACTGTACCACAGCGTGTTCAAGTACCATCCGTTGTACTATGAATCCGTATTCTCGGCCGAGTACAAACGACAGAAGATCGCTGATGCCAACCCAGATGCCGACTATACCATCGCAATCACCACACAGGGGTCTTGGAATCGTTTGCATCACATTCAGGTACCGAACTGTCTTTTCAGTGTTTCAGTGAACAGAATTGTGAGAATCCGGTACTTAGTTTGCAGAATGGTTGGTCTGAGATCTGCGTTGTTGTTCGGTGTATAGCTTCTGGAAGCAAATATCTAAACAGACGGTCGCCAATATAAAGTGATTGTGTTGAACAACTCTGTTTTACGCAGTGGTGCGTATGGATGGGTATGTTGTGTGATCGTGGGTTGTATATGCAGATCTATGACAGGGAGTTTTCCTCAGATAGAAAGAATGACGATCGTATAGGGGCGGTTGCATACGAAAGGAGTTTCTATCTCTCCATGTGCGATATGCAATGATGCGGAATGCTTCGGCCATTGTTGATATTCAACGAAACACTTGGTTGTAACCCATGAAAACATTGGTTGTTGAAAGTTTGAATGATATTTCGAGATATTTAATTTCGAGTACTCGATGTTATGCAGGCGCTGGCCGAGACATGGAACGGGCCCATCAGTTTTACTTTGTTTCTGGACGATTCCTCTCAGATGGATGAGCTCGACAGTATAATTGCAGACAGTCCACTGCTCAAGGTAGGAGCCCTATTTTTTTATGGAACGAAGCAAACAGATATTTAGTCTGTATATGTTACACACCTGTTTAGATATATAAATATATATATACTTTGATCTAGGAGCCGAGACATTCTTCAGGTGATCATACTGCATGTGCGAATTTATTCAAATACAAGTACACAGCTATATGCGTATGTATATGTGTGCGTGAACGATTTTGAATTGACATTGTCCACATGGACTCTGGGAGTATCTTAAATACGGCCAACCTTCGTCTAGTAGAATTCTCATGTAATTATATCCACACATATACCTATGTGTAATCTGAGAAGTAGTAGATCTGTCGAACAAATTATTACCACCCATTCAGACATCATATTCAGCAAGCTTGTTAATTAGTCTGTTGGCAGGTACACTCATTATTTGTTATATACGA